AGAGAGAGAGAGAGAGAGAGAGAGAGAGAGAGAAACAAAGAGAAAGAAACAAAGAGAAAGAAACAAAGAGAAAAGAGAGAAAAGAAGAAAGAGATAATGTATTCTCACCTAGAGGCGGTTCCCCAGGCCGTAAAGAGCGCCTTGGACATGTTCAAAGCAAACTTGAAGGGGTTTTTGCGGGTGGCTACCAAGAAGAGGAGAGGCAGGACCACGAAGCCGTGGATAGCCAACCCGGCAAGCACAGTGGCCATGTACAGACCCAGATCAGAGAGTACCTTGCCAATGTCTTCCGTCTCCACAAACTTGCCAGCGATCAGGAAGAGGATGCCGATTGGTGTGTACCTGCATCAACCAACCAACCAACCAATCAATCAAACAATCAATCAAATCAATCAATCAATCAATCAACCTATCCATCAATCAATCAATCAATCCAAGAAATATCTATATTATAATGATAGATGAATGAATGAATCAATGAATGAATCGACCCATCAACCTGTTTGTAGATATCAAGATGAAAGTCGCAGCAGCTATGACTTTTAAAGTCATAAATCCCTATCCTTCCCCCCGCTTCTCTTCCCCCTCTTCTGCCCATTGAATGAGAGATGGAACCATCAGATCTCTATTTCTCAATTTAAAAAAGCAACATAAACAGCAAAAAGCGATTACAACTTTTTCCAGTCTTGGAAACAGTCATAGCCTAACGACGAATTAATAACTAACAATTATACACACACATGTGCTACACAATCTAGACCAGTGATTAATTCACTTATTGAATAAATAGATGCCCACCGACTTAACAGTCATCTAGTGCAAAGAAAATTAAGACAGTCAGACGGAAATAACAAAACCAAAGAAACGAAGTAGGAATTCCAGGCAGATCGGAAAAAGAAATGTACAAGTGGTAAAAAACATACAAAAGGTAAAAATCAATGGCTGATTGCAAATCTTGTGCAAACACAACTACGCAATACCGCGTTTGTCGGAATCTTGCAAGCAGCCACATCGGAATCAACAAACAGATCTTTTTGAACAAGCACCAAAACAGCCAAACAAGCTAACAGACTGCTGACCAGATAACAATCTTGACCAGCACCATGGTGGCGGAGTTAAGGGAGTCGAAGAAGGCTTTGAGCGGCTCCCCTTGAGGGCCCAAGTTGTTGATCACACAGCCCAGGGCGATGGAGAAGACAACAATACCCAGAACATTGGTGCCGGACTTCGATACCAGGTAAGGGCTGTCCACTGTAACACCTGTGAAAGAGGGGGGGATGAAGGCTATGAGACTGTGGTAAACTTCAGGATATTGTTGTCCACTGACACATACTTATGTACAGGGAGGTTAAGGGAAAGAGGGGGTGGGGGAGGATGAGGGCTATGAGACTGAGGTAAATTTCAGGATATCGTTGCTCACTGCCATCTGTATATTATGCACAGAGAAGTTATGGGGAAAATGGGTGGGGTGGGAAGAGGAGGAGATTGAATCAGAACAAGGGTCATCCGTAACATGCCTGGGCATGATAATTGAGCTAAAAGGTGTGTCCAACCGAAGATACAAAAACCTAATGGTTATCATCTCCTTAATTAAAAAAAAATTCCACACCATTCACAACCGTGTTGAGATTGCTATTCTGAAATAACCTACCTTTATCGTTCATGGTCTTTCTTCCCATTCTTACAAAGCATGTGGCATTTTCACTGCCTTTCCCAACGAGGCAGGCAGTTTTCAGTAAACCGCTCTTCCAATTATCCCGTGTCCCCTTTTTCTTTTTTCTTTTTATGATGTATGTGTTTTACTCCCCTATCGACACGTCAATTTAAATAATTTAGGTGGTGGGCTCTAACCCTGCCTGTCAGGACCAATCCAGGCTGAGCGGGGGATACAACACTCCAGCAGAAAAAAGGAGGCTGGCTAGCTGGCCGGTGTCGTATCCCCTTTTCGCCCTCCGACAAGAACATAGCGTGAGGAGATAGTGGAAGCTGGAACTTGTCTGCCCTATTTACCTTCTCTCAGCTGGACTTAATTTTTCTCAGTGTCATTTGCAGTGCACCGGTGTTTCCTTTGACCACAGGAAGCGTTCTACCTCATATAAAAGCACACACATGACCATACCCCTTTTCATTTTTACAAGAGAAAAAAATAGCAAGCAAACAAACAGGTTGAAGCCACTTACTTCTTGTATCATTGTCGTACAGGAAGGTTTTAGTTTCAATTTCAGTGACGCGCTGTGTGGGAATAAAAGAAAAAAAAGGGGGCGGGGGAGGGCAGGGAGTTGAACACAAATAAACCAAAATGTTTTCCGGAAGTAGGAGCAGGAGTGGTATAAGAATGGAGAAGTGCACTTGGATGACAAGCACCGGTTTAAGAGGATCCTCCCAGAGTCAAAGAGTCTGCACAGAGCGGGCTACTCGAGCCAGTGGTCTCAGTAGTGCATCAGGTCAAGTCGACACAGAAAGGGAACTCTGAGGACTCAACCCCTCCCCCCAATCCTAAACCCCCCCCCTCCGAAAAGGTACTGACGTTGGAACCCGTCATTTTTTGTTCTCGCAAAACTGAAACCCTCTGTACCCAAGCTAGTGGTTAGCTTTCAAACAGGTCCACTGGGATTATAGTCATTACTTTCTACCCTGGCCACAACACAGCCTGCGAACTGGTAGTCAGACAACTTTGTGGGCTCCCAAAACATGGGGGCAATTATCTAAAACCCCTGGTTACCGGCACTCTCGTAGAGTATCTATTATTCTGAAAGCCTAGGATGAGTGGTCTGTCAAGCACAACTTTTTTTTGCCATGATCATTGTGCCATAGGACACTTTTTTTTCTCTTTTTCTCTTAAATTGTCCTTGTCTTTTTCGTATCCAGTTAAACCCGTTATGTTTGCGTCGTATACAATGCTTTTAGTGTAATCATTTGACTTCTCTAATGGGTCAGGGTTGTGGTGCATTGTTCAAGTACATGCCCCAGAGGCCATCCACCTCCATGCCGCATTATTAAACACAGAAATACTTTTAACTGTTAATCGCACATCTTCACCCGCACGTATGATAGAAAAGAAGGAGCAAACAATACCACCCACTGAGACATTATGAGATGCACGTTTATGAAAAGTTTTTGGTCTGAGTATGAAGGAATTATGGTAGAGTTATGACATTTCGCCAGCTTTTAGACTTGACAATTTCTTTGGAACACACCATGCACATTTTCGGAAAACCCGACAATAATGAGACACTAGTCAGCGTGTTCAGTGAAACCATGCTAAAAAACATTTGGTATTCCTTTGCTGAAGCTGTGCCATGGAGCCTGTTGAATATCACTCAGTTATCAAGTTTTACACTTGCAAGGAAAATCCCCTTCCGACATTTTTCAGGAAATGATTCAAGTTTATGGTGACAAATGTCCTCCTTATAATACTGTGACATACTGGGTAAGAAAATTACAATCTGGATTCAAGTCTTTGATGGATGAAGATCGTGAAGGGCGCCCATCCTTTGTGGTAACTAAAGAGAATGCATCCATTGTGAAGAAACTGGTTTTACAAGACTGACGAATAACTGTTAAACAACTCTCAAGTGAAACGGGAATCAGTGCAGGGTCAACTGAAACGATTCTCCAAGACCATCTTAACATGAATAAGGTGTCTGCGCGGTGGGCACCCCGCCTTTTGACAAGTGAGCAAAAGAAACAGAGGGTTGCGTCCTGAAAAACTCGCCCTCGAATTGAGTCTAATGACACAAATTTCTTTAAAAACACGGTGACTATGGATGTCCTCCATGCAATGGAAAACCCCTTCTTCTCCCCCTACGAAAGAAGGCAAAGGTAACACCGTTAATTTGAAAGATAATGCTGTAGTGTTTCTGGGATTGTGAAGGTATCATCATGACTGACTACGAGGAAATAAAAAAAACAGACACAGGGGAATACTATTCATGTTCGCTGATAAAATTGCGGTCCGATTTGGTGAGAAAAAGGAGTTGAAAATTCCGTAATGGGGTCCTCCTATTGCATGACAACGCCTAGCTCTGCGCACAGAGCACAACAAACAGTCCAGACAGCAGAACAGTGCGGCTTTGAAATCCTGCCAAACCCAGCTTATTCACCAGATCTAGCCCCTTCAGACTTTTTTCTGTTTCCTAATCTTAAAAAAAAAACACTGAAAGAACGTCATTTAGATGACAACGAGGACGCTATTGAAGCTGTGCAGAAGACTGGTTAGGGGCCCATTCTGGGTTTTTTTTCTCCAAAGTTTTGAAGGTTAAAGAGGTGTGATAGAAATGTGTTACTCTGCATGGTGACTATGTAAAGGAATGAAAGTATGTGTGCCAATATACAAAGCTCTATCTTTATTCCTTCATATTTAGACAAAATACTAGTTGAACCCCCTTCGTATGTAGAAGTTTTGATGTATGCTTAGTGAAAACACTTCGGAGACATTCAAGACATCCTGCAGGAACATTTTGAAACGTGCAAGTGAGGAAATGACGTCTCACAAATTACAATGTGCTTAAGATAACATTTGAGAAAAAAAAATCTTGTGGAGACATGTAAGTTTGAGATGAAAGAAAAAAGCTCATTACGATAACAATTTGAAATGTGTTTACATTAAAAATGTGAAGATATGAGATGAATTAATATAACTCACACGCTGGAAACTGGCTGTGACGAGGTTGTCCGGAAAACATTGGCTGAAAATATATAATGGTAAGCATTTTACGGCACTCGCAACGTAATAAGGTCATGTAAGAGCCGAAGATTAAACGTATGACTAGAGAATAACATACAAAATCAATTGGGAGAGGGGGCGTCAAGATTATAATTATGAAGAAAATCAATCAACGTGTTCGAAAAATTTCATGTTTTAGAAATTTTAACCAAAATAGGACAAATCGCTAAACTTTACATCTTAAGAGTATTTAGCTACCTGGGTGGGATTGATCCGTCCGGGTTTTAGGACGAGAACGGTAAAACCACGACAGTTAAATCAGATGGGTATCTCAACTTAATGAGAAAATTTATGAGACGTTTAGGGATGAGAAGATGTTATGCTGTTGAGGAGGCCTGGTTCCAGTATAAAATAAGGCCTAACCCTGCACGCCAAGAGAAGCCCAACTTGTATGGTTGAACGAATTTTTTGGGGAATGCCTTATTAGCAGGGAGCTTACAAATAAATGGTTGCAGCATTCCTTGGACGTGAGCCCCTTCCATTATTTCCTTTGACTTTTGGGGGTACTTTTTTGGCAGACAAAGTCTATAGAAATAACCCGAAAGCAATTGAACAGTCGAAAGTCTATGTTGAACAGAAGGTCCAGAAAATCGACTCAGAAACATGCCATTTTCATAATTTTCAGTGGCGTGTTGGGGCTTGTGAGGAAAGAAAAAGTCAACACCTGACGCTACCCTGAGTTTATTAGACAGTATCAATTTCGAACATATCAGCTGATTTTTTGTCATATTGGCAAAAGTGCCCCCCCCCCCCCCCCCCGATTAAATTTTATTTTAAAGTAATGTTTTATTTTGGTCTTAAGAGACCTAGTTATTTCTCTTTTTAAATAGGCTAGGTCTTCTATTTTTTTTAGACACCCGGTAGTTACAAGTTTGATGTCCTTTGTCATAAATGTGTTAACAACGACGACAAGAAAAAAAAACAACTCTTGTGCTTAAGTAACTTCATTCAAATGTGTGCTCCATCAATATCTCCAAGATCAGGTGATCAGTCTCCAATGAGAGCTCGTAAAACGGGAAGTTAAAAAACACTCGGTGGGAGGTTATTTTCTCATTTTCCTCCCTCTATCTAGAACCCTTTCTCTCTTAACATTCATCATCATCCGGTGCCTTGCCGACTGGCGTGGGCGACTATGGACCTCCACTTCACCGATGGTGTCTGTCGTTCATGCTGTTACAGCCATGTTGTCAACTTGCCCAGAATCTTTTCCCTCTATCTGCATCTGCGTCTCTTTCCATCAAATTTGCCCGTTGTTACAATATTCTCCAATGCTTCTTTCCGCTTAGTGTGTTCAAGGAACTGTGCCTATCGCTTTCGTATATTCGTCATAAGATGTAGTTCGCAATTTGCTTCTGACAAGATTTCCTCTTTTGTTTTTCTAGCCGTTCATGGGATACTCAGCATGCGTCTTACTCTTATGAACCACAACTGTGTCTCTCAATTGTTCTTTCCAGCTGTTTATTGATTGTCCATGCCTCGAGCCCGTATAATAGAATTGGCTCGATGTAACTTTTCAGTACTCTTTTTCTTGTTTCCAGTGACAGATTGATGTTTGTATCTGTTTCATTTTGTGGAAGGTTGTTTTTGCTTGGCAAATGCGGCTTTTAATTTCGGTGTGACAACTCCCATCTGATGATATAACGGTTCCCAAATATTTAAAATGTACTTGCCAGAGGGTGGCATCATTGATTTTGATATTGAAGGTTTGGGTTTGAGTTTTTCTGCTTATCACCATTGTTTCAGTTGTCTTGATGTTTAGGCCTATGCCCATGTTGTCACTCTCTTTTGCGATGACATTTAATAGATCCTGTTGGTGTTCTTCATCTTCTGCTGTTAGGACTGTGTCGTCTGCATATTTTCTTAGATTGTTTACGTTATGTCCCCCAATTGAGATACCTGGCATTTCTTCTATGTGTCTCATTTTCAACATTAGAGGGATACAAAGTCGGAGGTAAAATTTATCGTTTATTTCTGCAGATACCTGATGTTAGCATCTTGATCGTTTGTTTGTACTCTTTCTTCTCTTTTGTTTATCGTGACTGGGTTGTGACAGTATGACTTTCTGCGCATATGTTAGTGTTAATCTAAAGAACGTCTGCATGTACATTAAATTTAAGAACATATTCCATAAGCTTGGGACGGGTATACACGTATACAGTGGAGTATGTTTGTGTTCGTACGCGCG